GGGCTTGCAAGTTCACTTTAAAGTTAAACTAATTGTGAGCTGCTCATTTGTCTGCCCACAACCCAAACCATATGTTTTATTTAAAGGTGAGTGTTTTCACCTTATCAGGTAATTTGACTTAGAATCCTTTCTAATGCTACTAGTATGCCTTGCATTGTTGGGTGTGGGTGTGGGTGTAGGTGTGGTAATGATAGCACCCCTGGCACACAACCTGACATTTATGAACACAGATGCCCTTCCATCATCCCCCTTTCAACCAAATTCATTCCAAGCAAGCCAAAGTAACTTGGGAATTGCAATAGAATATCACATTACTGCTAACACTATGATACAGGTATGTATTGTGTTGTACTTCAGTACATTATTGATTCTATACCTACAATGATTCAAGACAGAAGGTCCTGCTATCAATATATTGCAGCACCATCAATCTCACTGCAGAACAGCCCAGTTACTGCTGCAAGAGTGCCTCAGGCCATATGTGGTCTCATCCTCAAGTTCATGTACCTTCAGCCAGCAAATGTCATCGAGGGCCTCAATGAGCATCATGTCTCTTGACAACCTCAACAACCTCAACAACAATAAAAACAATTCACAGTGTGCAAGGTGTGGCTCAAGGAATGCTACTATGAATCTCTCAAAAATAGGTTTTTACAGTAAGAAAGACAAAATGAATATATATCATGCTCAGAAGCTCATCATGCTTAACATGATTCTTGAGTCTGGATAGGAAAACAATTGAAAGGTGCTACAGGCTATCACTACCGAGTGTCTCTCTTCAGCATGTACAAAGAGTGGCTATGGTATGTGTTTTTTTTTCATTGATCATAAATAGATACTGAGCCTATGACTAGAGTCCTCAAGCTCATAATAGACAAACTCTCAACCATATGAGGCAAGTTGGTTCAAGAAGCTGAAAGTTATCTATTGGCCTTAGGCCTTTAGCCTAATGGTACCACATTTGATAAAGATGATATGGCGCACATAGCAGTATGTGTGAATGTCATGCTGGATAAAAAAAACCTTCAAGACTACTTCTTGCATGGCTGGGACCCTGATTGCTTGAAAATACTTGTATTTTTAGCTGTACCTTACTTCAATTTTCATGAAAACTTTTGGTTTGGGCAAAATTTGCCTTTCCTTAATGACTCAGCATTGAGAATGCAGATCTCAAAACCCTCATGGTTTATGTATGAACTCTCAGGTGCTGCAGTGAGTCTGTTTGTCAACACTTCTTGGATACTACTGATTCATATTTGTTTGACACTAGTTAAATTGTATCATACACTGTGATGCAATAAGTAAGCTATCAAAATCAGAAAACGTGCTGCACTTCTTCATGCATGAGTTTCAGCCAGTCACAATTGGAATCCGGAATGCAATGAAGTGATATTTGAATCATCCTGAGCTTGATGATGGTAAATTCTTACCATACATCACCACTCGCCATGAGCAATGTTTGTAAGTGTATGAGAGATGCAAAAAATAATATATTGACTTTGTATTTACAGAAAAGTTCTTAGGCCTTGTACTGGAGAAGGATTACCTACAAAACAATACAATATATGTCCCCTCCTCCTCATTGGAACTATACCAATCAAGGATGAATAACTCCTCAGCAACTCCTTCAACATCTTCAGCTTTGTTACCATCACTAACATTCCATCAAGGTATAGTTGCATTGTCATCATCATTATTGTCCAATGCATTGTAGTACCCTCATAAAATTGTACAATTGCCTCAAGTAGCACAATACATACCATATCTCCCCAGTGATCATAATTACAGTGGTTACAGCAGTGAAACACCCTCAGGTTTAAGTTCCCAGCTTCAATATCACTGCAGGCATTTTTCCATTTTCCTCCACCAAATATCCAAAAAACATTAATTGAGAAGATAAAAATTTCCCTTCATTTTCCCTGTCAAAACATTAGAAAAAAGTAATTCATGTTTCAATGATGTTCTGTATGTGGGATATGATAAAAAAATTGGGCATGTTCCTTCAAGGATAATGCTGTATTTTTGATGTATTGTTTTTGAAAGAATAACTTAAAATAATGTTTATTTTATTTTCTGTGTTTTTCAAATATACTATGTTTTTTCAAATGTTCTGTGTATATTTGAAAAATACAGAGAAGAAAATGAACATTATTTTCAGCTGTTATTTCAAAAACAATACATCAAAAATACAGCATTATCCTTGAAGGAACATATCCAATTTTTGCATCATGTCCTACACACAGAACATTATTGAAATATGAATTACTTTTTTTCAATGTTTTGAGAGGAAAAATGAGGGGAAATTCTCTATTCTCTTAATCAATGTTTTTTGGATGTTTGGTGGAGGAAAATGGAAAAATGCCTGCAGTGTATCATGTTCCACCAAAGTCGTGGCCATTTGAAGAACCCAAAGTTGTGTCAGATTGGGGTAATGCACCACCATTTATGCAGGATGACCAACAGAATGACAATCAATTTTTCTTTATGCTGGGTACAAGTGCACTTACAGGTTGGGGTGGTAGCATTACAGGCACTAGTAGTTGGAGGGGTCCAATGACATAATGGTCTCATATTATTATATTTAATGTCGAAGGGTAGCTCATTGTTTGTCCTGCTGATCATTTATTGTAGTATACAATTCTTGTGATTGTACTATCTTATATCTAATCACCAATGACAACAATTTGAACGATCAATTGACCACTATATTAGGAAGTCAAGTCAAGTCTGAAATCAAATGGTTCCATGGATTCAAATAGCCAACATTCAAAATCTATTTTAACTCTAAATGGCTTAGTACTATAGTTATAGCATATTACAAGTCATTACAATTTGATTCTGTAATAATTAACTGTTATAGTACCACATTCTGCTACAGTGCTTCTGCTGGCTACAAAGGACTTTATAATGCAAAACATCCTGCTGATATTATTTGACACTTCCATTGTTACATGAAGCTAAATTTAGTGCTTGGATATGACAAAGGAGGAGAAAGAGAGCATGCATGATTCCTGTATTATGCAGGACATCTGCGGGGCAGTGAAATCACAACTGTCCCCAGTTGTGTGTCCAGTAGCAATAGTAGTGATGATGTGGGTCACGAATATGATGATGGAGCTGTAGTAACAACTCCCGAGTGGATATGCTATGGGTTCCAATTGTGTAGTGAGGATGGAATTGTGCAGTGCTCTTTGTTTTGTAGTAGTCTCCATGATTGTGCAATCACATTTCTCATGTGATGCATTCTCAATAGATAGTGTTGTTACAGTGGTCTCTTTTTTTTGGGAGGGTTGGGTTGGGTTATATAAATCAATCACTTTGTGAGATTGGCTCATCTTCACTGGAAGTATTGGCACTTGGTTGTGATAGTGTTTTGTCTTCATCTTCAAGAGGGTCTGATAGTGATGGTAGTATTGATAGATCTCTGGAGATATATGGTATGAGTCTAAATGTGGCTAGATTACGTTTAGATAGGACACCATTCATTTATCTCAGAACATATGAACCTCCCTTGGTTTGTCTTTCTACAACAAAAGGACCAAGATAGCATGGTTTTGTTTTTTGGTTGAGTTCTTTTTCAACTCTAGTGTTTTGAACAAGGACTAAGTCTCCTTTTTCAAAACTAGTGTGATGCATTCATAGATGGAATTTGTGTTCAAATTGAGCTTTGGACTTGAACTGTGCCTTTTTCAAGGTCTTTGCAGCATGATCCAAATCTTCCTGCCTCCTTTCAATCTGGTGGATATATAGGGATAGGAATTCTGCTGTGTCCATATTAGCATGAAATCCTTCTACCATGAAAGTAGCTTCTGTTAAGTCAAATGGTAGAATGGTGTAGCACTGGAGCTTGCGCTGAGCACGTATTCAGTCGTTTTCCGATACATATCCAATGCCCATCGTGCACTAATTACAACCTGACGCAAACCTGACACTTTGACTAGCAGACCTGACGTTTCGGCCGCATTGGCTGACCCGAAATCCTATGCACTTGTCCTATCTGTGTCCTGTCCCATCTTGCTAGCCCCACTAGGTGCGTAGTTGATTATTTTGCACATTACTCACGTCATAGCAAGCGCTATTACATGTTTTCCCATCATCCGCAGCGCCTTGTGTTAGTTTACATGTACTTCAGACCCGAAATCGTTGGCCACTACTTTCGCCTATAGGGTTCCATATTTCTACATACTTACATATATATTGGACTGACTACAAGTATTTTCATGATCCAAGTAGTAGGGAGCCGTTTCCTGATACTTAGTAGTCAAACCCGATATTTCGTAGTTCTTAGTTGACATTGCGAATATTACTGCTCTTTCTATCCGAAATACCCATCATTATCATTAATCCGCATACCACTCGCTTTTCCGACACTCATTATCACGATTCCCGCTAACCCGCTAAAACCCAAACCTGAAACCCACTAACCCAAAACCTGAAAACATCGGACCCGATGCTTTGGTGTCGGACATCGTAGATATACCTTCAGACTTTTCTTCTTGCGCTTGGACTTTGAACCATCTATCATTTCACTAATTACAGACCATTCCATACAGCAAACCCCTCGGGTCGAATGCACTTGTCTTGCAAGTATAGCAGACAAGGCGGTGCATGACCACAACACATTTTTATATTGCTAGCTACTTACTTCGTGTAGTGCCCAGCAATTGTTGTATCTCTACAACGGGATGGACTCCATGTAACAAATAGAAGGGTGACCATCCAGTGACATGACTGGTGGTTATGTTTTCTGCAAATAAGGCCTGTCAAATCTTTTCAGGCCATTTTGTAATATTCTTTTTACAACTTTTTACAATAGCTTCTCTGATATTGAAATGTCCATGCTCAACAACTCCATTTGCTTGGGAATTGTAAGGTGAAATCTTCACTTGGGAAATATCAACTTGCATGAGAAGTTGCTCAAATGCCCCTTTAACTTCTGGTCCATTGTCAGTCACAACTTGACCAATGGCTCCATATCTGCAATACAGATCCTCCCAGAAAAACTTAGCCATAGCTTTGGCTGATGGGGATTGTAAAGCTCTTCCTTCAATATAACAGGATATATCGTCTCTAGCAATCACAAGATTTTTGTGGCCTGCAGCTGAAGGCATCTTCATAATATCCATATAAATCTTTACAAATATAGTCGCGGGGGTAGAAACAGTGATTGGAATATGCATCTTCTTGACACTGTGTACTTGGCAGTCATGACAAGATTGCACATGATGTTTAACATTGGTGTACAAATGAGGCCAATAAAATTGGTAGTATATGGTCTCAAAAGTTGCTTGAACTCCTTGATGTCCTAGTTCTTTATGAGCATTATGAAGAATTGAAGCTCTTTTGCTAGCTTCAAATACCACAAGTAGAGGTGGTCTGCCAACTATTCTTTTAAACATTTTGTCACCTCGGACAAAGAACTGTGTTGCCCTATTAACAAATTTTCTATGTTGGGCTGTCCGATCAAAATGGAGTGCTTCAAAAGTGCTGAGGAATTTGTATATATCCCTCAAAGACTTTTCTTGAGTAGTGGTTGCAGCTAGAATAGAGGGTAGGGTGGTTGGTTCATAGGAATAAATGGCATAGGAAGGGGATAGACAATTGGGTCAATAGCGTTCCTGAGAGATTCCAGTAAACAGTGCTATATCACCAAGTCATAAATCCTTATCAGGTAGTATTTCTTCATCATCTGCCAAAGGTCTCCTAGATAGTGCATCAGGTTCTTTGAATTGTGTGGCAGGTACATGAACAAGAGTGAAATCGAATAGGAGTATTCCTTGAATCAAATGGTTGATGGTAGTGTTGGGTTGTAGATCGGGTTCATTGAGCATTCCTTTTATATACTTAGCATCCACTTCCACAATAAAGGTCTGCACACCAATAATGTAAAGTCTGAAATGCCTAAGTGCTCGAAAAAGTCCATAGAGTTCTAGTTTTGGCTGGGAATACCTTGATTATGTATCTCCCATAGGTAAGGATCCATAATGTGCTAGTCTCCTTCTTCCTTCATTGTCTATTTGTAACAATATAATTTTCACAACCATAAAACTAGAGTTAACTGATAGAATCATGAAGTTTGCTCAATACTTCACATTGCAGGGGCAGAACAAATTCTTTCTTTCAACATCTCAAATCCTCTGTCTTATTCTTCTCCCCAAACAAAGGGTTCATCTTTCTTCCATAATTGGGTAATAGGTTTTGCTAGTTCTGAAAAACCTAGAATCCATATGCGAACTGTTCCACAAAGGCCCATGAAGCCTCTTGCTTCTTTGATAGTGGTAGGAATAGGCCAATTGAGGATTTTGAAAACTTTTTTTGTGTTTGGTAATCTTCCTTCTGGTGTACATCTCTGTTCAACTATTAGGACATCAGGCAAACATAGCTGAATTTTAGTTGCAGAGAAAGTCGCTCCAACATCCTTGATGCAGTGCATTATCCTATGTACATCAACAGTGTGTTCCTAAATAAATCTTCTGATCCCAGGGTGTTCTTTTAACACCTCTAGGTTTCCTTCTTCATCAGGGTAGATAGACTTAGGTCCTTTGACTGGTAAGTCATCAATAAAAACATTTGCCACATGGAGAATTTCATCTTGTAAGACAAAACTAGTGCACTTCTGAAATTCTGCAGGTGCATTCATATATCCCATTGGTAATGGGGTCAATTGAAGCAATCCTAAGGGTGTTAGGAAAGCTGTCAAATCTCCACTGTCTGGGTGCATTTTTCTAGCATCAAATCCCGAGAAGAGGTCAAATACTGTGTAGCATTTCCAGCCTGCAAATGATTCTGAATATCTAATTTTCTATTTTTGATTTTAGATTATAACATCTACAATTGGAATAAGACCAGCATCTCGAATAGAAATTTTGTTAAGCAGTTGCAAGTCATGAACTAATCAGAGTTTTCCATTTTTCTTCAATACACAGAACCAGCGTAAACAATAGGCTGATTGACTGGGTTCATATACTCCTGCATTGATCTTGGTACATAGTAGATCAATGACTTTTTCTCTGGTACCGGGTGGAATAGGGATGTTTTGTATTTCCAAGGCACATGGGGAATAGTAGGGATAATGTAAGGTGAAAAGTATGATTCCTTGAGGGTTCCTCAGTCGGTTTCCTCAAATGCTAGTGCATCTTGATTTAGGTATATGATGTATTGGAAAAGTTTGACCTCTTCAGGCCAAAGAAATCTGGTAGTATTGAAATTAAAACTTTCTATATGTTCAATAGTAAGTCTTCCATCTGGGATGAAGTTGGGTGGATGGGGTGTCAAGGGAATCATAGTTTCTAGTGGATTGTATGGAAATCGTCTCAAGACTTGTGCGTCTTGAGGAAAAGTGCCAGAAACAGGCTTGACTTTCTTGTCAACTTGTTTATACATAGTAAGAATCAGATTATAGGATGGGTCAGAAAGTATAGATGCTTGATAACTGAGATACAAGTCATCATCATCAATTTCTTTGTCTGAACTAGATGGTTCCCAATCAGAATCTTCGGTCATATTGTCAAATAGCTCTTTGAAGCATTTTTGACAGTCTTCTTCTATAACAAGATCCAAACAATACTCTTCAATTGTTTGATCTTTGCCTAGGTCCTCAGGAAAAACAAGTAAAGGTTCTTGACTAGATGTCTCAGTGAGGCAAATAGTAGCACAAACAAAAAGGAAGTGAAGCTCGAAGCTAAACATACACGTAAGAGAATATGAGACAATTTTTTTGTGGCTTTTGAATAGCAAAAATCGAGAGAGACAAACAAAAAATGACAATGAACAGAAACACAAACAAATAAAATCAAACTCAATACAAATATAGGTGCTGTGTCTAGATGATGGCATCAGTGTACATCTATCATAGACACTCTGAGGCTTTACCTTGTCATTAAGCCAAAAAGAATATGTGGGACGCATCTGGTCTCATTTCATCATTATCACTATCGGAGTCTTTGTCAAGCTCATCATCAAAACAGATGCAAAAATGGAGCTGTGATGTGTCAGCATGAGTTGAAGACTAAAAGGGATGATATGCAACTATGAATAGACAAACTCATTGTATTCCTAATGCACGATCTCGCACACGAGCAAATGAAATTACTTGACTCTCACTCTGTCCATCGAGCACACCTTCCTGGACTAGTGCACGCACAATGTCAGGATCAGGATATGGCATCAATAGAGCTGCTTTGACGGATAATGCAAGCCTATGCTCTCCATGGAATTCAGCTACAGCTGCAAGTGAGTTCAAATAATCAGTCTCATCGAGAGTAAAAAATGGATTAATAGGAAATGTTTAGCTTGGTAGTGTGTTGGTGGTACATGTGTGCCGATGTATTGATTGGGATCACATGTGAGGACTCCAGGATGTCAAAGTCCTTCTTCTAACATGTGAGACAAAATATTGTCCTTGAGCATTGCAATAAGAGCACGACTATGCATGTGATGATTGAGAAGGTCCTGTGCATGATCCTCCCAGTCTCATTCGGATCTCGGTCCTGCAGAAGGAAAGGATTCAGTGACTTCATTGACAAAAGGATGTGTTCACAATATTCCCGAGTCCCAATCCAAGGCACAAAGATTGTCTTGACATTGAGTATAGTCTTGATAGGCATTCGCAACTTCATCTAGCATAGGAGTATGATGGTCCGACGTGGTAGGTAAGTCCATCACAAAATAGTCCAAAAGATACTGGTGGTTGTCAGGTACTGGTAGGATAATAGTAGTGTGAGTCATGTTCGTGTCCGCACAATGTGAAATGTAAGGTGGAGGTGGACTAGTGCGAACAGACTTAGCTAGGGCTTCCAATACATGGACTCAGTTGATAAACAGTACTTGATGTGGGCCACTAGAGATGGTAGTAACATGGACAATGCAATGCACATCAATCCAAAGTTCATTGGTAGGCAAGTCTACCGAAGTGCAAATGTGTATCTTATTATAAGGTTGGGGGATAGAATGATCTGATATAGCAGGTGATGTAGACTGTGAAGATACTGGGTGCCATGTGGCTCTGCTAGGATGAGGAGTAGGAATGCAAAGCTGTGTGAAAGAATCAGGGAAGCTCGTGGTAGCGGTACCAGTATTTAATATAGTAGAGGTGGGATAGGTAGTGTGTGTAGGGGGTAAAACATTAATCACAGTTAGAACTTGAGCCGGCAGCTCCGGTAAAAACATTAATTGCCATTAGGACTTGAGCTGGTGGCTCACAGTCCATAGCGGAAGCACTGCAGTCCATAGCGGAGGCACTGAGAGCTGAATTGAGTGGGGGAATGGTGGGGTCAGGTCCTGTTGCAGGAGTAGGAGTAGGAGTAGCAGGAGCACACAATACCTCAGGCAGTACACTTGGAGTTGGCAAATAAATAGTGTTGGGGTCCAAAACATGATGGAGGGAAGTGTTATGTTCTAGCGCATGGCACAAAACATGTGTTAGTCATTTAGAAAAATCAACAGAATCATAACACATACCTTCTCCCATTAAATCTCCTCCTTCCTCCAACTTGGTGGTGTCTCCAACAGGTCCGATGTCATCCGGATAGACAAGTTCAAGGTCGCCAGAAGATGAAAAGGACTCCTCCCATCCAGTTTCAGCAGTTGCTGGCTGGATGGGAGTAGAAACAGGAGAGGGGAGTAAAGATTTGTGTGAGGGAGAGGTAGCATTAGGCACTGGATGTAGCTGTAGTGTTTGTGTTTTGTTGTTTTGAGAATTCAAAGTCAGCCGGTAACTTCCAGCAGTGCCCAAAATGGCACTCAGAGAGTCAGTAGCATTTTGCATGCCACTTATCCAAATGTCCGAATTAGGTAAGTGGGCCAGCTGCAAATTTTAGGAGAAAGAATATGGGGGGTTATTTTTCATAGCACAGTTTCTGGGTGCTTTTATACCATATAGGGTAGGTATAAATTCAAATTAGTGGTCTAGAACTGTGACATCACCTATGACATCACTTTCTTCCAGAATTTTCTGTATGTTGGAATATCTGGGATTATGTAATCCACAAAAATTCAATATTTCTGTAGAGTTTCGAGTGACTGGTGTATTAGGTAATATTCCAGTCATGTTATCCATAGGTAAGTCAAAATTTGACATTTCTGACTTAGAATTAATAACCATTTCTTCATCAAAAATCAAGAAACTGCTATGGAATTTTGAACCGAGCCAGGTTGATGGTTCAAAAACCCATTCAGGATTGATATCATCTGGGGTACATAACATTTCGTGTGTTGCTTGAACATTTCGTGGATCTTTGAATACAAGCCATGTTCTGTCCTGTCTTTTATCAATGCTAACATAGTTTCCACATTGCCATGGTTTTTCTAATAGCAAATTAAAAAGTACATGGTCTCCAATGTAGAAATCAGCTTTAGTATGAACTGCTCCACATGTAAGTGGAACATTTTCAACTAATCCTCATAACTTTCCTTTGCCTCCATTGGCATCATTCATAGAAATGCTCCTGCCTATGTCAATGGGACAATTAATCTGTGCTTTCCAAACTTGACGGCTCACTATATTGAGCTGGCTACCAGTGTCAATTATAGCATTAATAGGTTATCCATCACAATACATAGTCATCTTGATCAATAAGCCATGGGTCTTGCTCCAAATAGAATGAGCTTGAGCTTTTTTAACAACAATAGGCTTTGGTTTGATTGCATTGGCTAAAATTCCTGATAATTCACGAGATGTACCAAGGATCTCACCAACTTCCAAAGAAACTGGAGTCCTAAGGACTGACTCCAAAACTTTCTCTGGTTTACTGCTCAAAAATCATTGAAACATGAATTACTTTTTTCTAATGTTTTGACAGACAAAATGAGAGGAAAGTTCTATCTTCTCAATTAATGTTTTTTGGATGTTTGGTGAAGGAAAATGGGAAAATGCCTGCAGTGTAAGGCAAATTTCAATGCAGCAAATTCTAGTAGATATGGTTTGTACTTTTCTTCCATGGGTGATGTTTGTTTTGATGCAAAGGTGATGGGTGGACAGCAGTGACTGTTCTTCTGGATGGTAGTGTCAAGGTATGCTTCTGGCCTAATACTGCCTTAAATCCTTCCTGGCACCCATCCATTGTAATGATAAAGGGAGTACCATTGAAACATGGTCCTTTCAACACAGGTTCACCTACCAGGATCTTCTTGAGTTCTAGGAATGTTTCAGTGTGATGAGGTCCCCAGTATGACTTGAGTTGGGTTGTCTGGAGATGTTGTCTGTATTTGAACCAACCTGCATGTTGTCCTTCTGTTGGGGTGCCTAATCGTCTTATGAGGTCTGTGAGGGATGCTGCCTTTCTAGCATAATCTTTGATTAGTGATCTGAAATAGCTAGTTAGTCTGAGGAATTGCATGAGATTATGAACAGTGTTGGGTATATTCCAGTCTACTACTGCTGAAAGTTTTAAGAGGTCTGGCTTGATTCCATCCTTTCTAACTCTGGCACCTGCAAAAATGATTTCTGTCATAAACAATTGGGTTTTGGATGGTGACAATGAAAATTGCATGGCTCTGACTCATTCAAAGAACCTTCGCAAGTATGCCATTTTGTCTTTGAAGATGTCACTTGCCATACCAGTGTTGTCTACATATAATTCAAACAAAAGTCCAATAAGGTCCCTTAGTGTGATAGTGGCCATGTCTCCAAAGTTCGTAGGTGCACCTATCAGTCCAAATGGCATGCGACAATAACAATCATATCCTCATCCTTCCATGTAAAAGGCTAGGTATGGCTGGGTGTCTTCATCCATTGGCATTGCATAGAATCCTGCTGTGAAATCAATAATACTGATCCAGCAGTGTCCACTGAGATACTGCTGCTTTGTTCTAATATCACCTTGAGGTACAGGTGGTATCTGACTAGCGTGATTGATCTCTGCAAAGTTCTGCTTCATTCTTATTGGTGCCTGTATTCCTGATAGTTGGCCTCTGAGGTAGGTCATCCCTTGTTGGTAGTCCATGCGTAGCACACTGGTCATTGACACAATGCAGTAGTTCATAGAGTGGGAGGCTCCCTGAGCCATGTGCCTTCTGGGCAAGGACAGTGGGACTTGCTGCTTTGACTTCCTTAGGTGAAATACGGCATATGATGCTAGCTTTCTTGAGTTCATTCAACCATTCATATAGAAATGCGCACTGAGGTGGTGTCAGGCCCCGTTGATTTACCTTCGTGTTGAATTTGGTGCCTTCCAGGAATGTGTATTTGAATGTCTTGAAGTCCACTGGGAATACTTTGCTGACCACTAGAGCAAAAGTGTCAGCGAATTCTGCACATAAGTCATGTACCTACTGCTGTTGCCCTGAGCTTAAGTCCTCTTCAATCTTGATTTGCTGCAAAATCTCTGCTACTCTTTCCGGCTTGAACAGGTTGGAGTGTCTTGAGTATACATTAGGCATTGATGTTGGAATGGGAAACTCAGGTATCTCTCTTAGGTTGTGTTCTTCTGGTTCTTCTAGTACCAGCCATACTAGAACATGTTGAGAATATTCATCTATTGAGGGATCAGTTGCTGTAAATAGAATAGGTGAGCACAGTGTCATGAATAAAGTGTTGTCTATCAACATTAGCCACAGTTTGTCATTGGCGATGACAATATGGGCTCCTGCTTGGGACAAAGCATCCATGTATGTGTTGATTTAGTTGTTAGGGTATTGTTGAGACGCTGTGTAAACAAATGATTCATTAGTGGCTATTGGTGGCTTAGAGGATGGAATATGGAGCTTAGGGTCTGCAGGGACTGTGATAATGAGGAAAATAGGGTTGTTATGTGCTTGAGGGTCATAGTTTGATGCTTGAGGGTCGCTAACATTGGTTTGAGGGCCAATGCTGTCTTCATATACTTGAGGTTCTGATGTATTCATTTCAACGATCAGTGTTGCTGAACTATGTACAAGTGCTGGATGGTGCAATAATTTGGCTGTTGGTGCTGTGAGTGTGTTAGCAATATTATGTATTATGTACGGTTGGGGCAATGTTGGGATACTAATGGTATCACTCGCATAGTTGTGTTTGGCTTGCAATTATTCTAAGAGAGGCTTTCCTATTAGAACATTCTAAATGCTGCCACCGTCGAAGACTTCGAATGATGCACAAACTTTTACCTTATTCCACTGGAATGTTCCAGTCCATACTCCTTGTGATGGTACCTCATTGCCATTTGCCATTTGGAGGATGCGTGTTGATTTCATGAGTTGCTTTAGGTTCCACAATGCCTTATGGAAGGTCTTAAGGTCAATTGCATTAATCATTGCTCCATTGTCTACATTTGCATGGAAACATGAAGTTTTTGTGCCCAGCCCATATAGGATGATCTGTGTGACAAATGGGCTGCTTTTGGGTGTGTGATCTGGGTCATCATTGTCTGAAACAGCATAAAGATCAGCAATTGTTCAATCACTTGTGCCCAAGTAACAGTCAGAAGATGGGTTTGATTCAAAAGTAGGTACAAGACTTAGTATAGTAAAAGAACTATCAACAGATGTATTCTGATCTACTGGTTCTGATATATCGGCCCAAGAACTCGTTATGTCAGTGTCTGATGTGAAAGCAATATGTGAAGGGGTACTAGAAGATAATTCTGAGAAATTTAGCATAGAAATGGAACTAGATTCTGAGTCTGAGAATAGGAGCTCTGCAAGGAAGGAGTTGGTGTCAAGAGTTATGGGTGATATTGGCTCTTGCTGAATATTCAATTTTGGAGAGGTGATGTTGATGGTAGGTACTATGAAATCATTGTCCATTGCTTTGACATTTAATATGTCCAGAGCTTATGACATTGGCATGTTAAGGGCCAAGGTGTTGAACTGTGTTGTGGGTCCAGATGTGAATTCTGATAATGGTGTACTGGGTGTAACCTCTGGGGTATTGGGAAACAATAGAGTGTGTGGCTCTGTGACCGCAGGTAGGTCCCCTACAGCTGCAGTCTGTATTCGTTTCCCATGACATTATACGACTTGTATGGCTCTGTGAAGTAGGAATATGGGGAATAGGGAGCTTGTGCTATCTGTGGTGCGTATGGCATTGCTGCAGCATTCGAAATGAACTGAACATTGGACATTGGTCCTGGCATGGTGGGTGTTGTCAATGTTCTAGACACCAGTTGTGACACTGTCTCTCTCCACTTGGTTTCCTGTGTGGGTAACACTTCATTGGGGCAGTCATATGCCTGGTGTGGTGGTGTCATCACCATCCCACAGTTAAAGCATTCTTGTGATCCGATGGGCGAAGTTCCAGGCTTTGACGGATATGGTCTCTGTGAGTTAGGGATAGTGTCAGACCCATGTTGCATGTGCCATTCTTACATCTGCTGGGTGTAAGCTTGCTTGCCAATGTCTAAGTTGGGGTGGTGAGAGATGGTGGCATACTGTGCAGCTGTTCGCATGCGGTCTGCTGGTGATCCTCCTTGGCAAGTTGGCATTTGCGGGTATCCTCTATAGCTGTAGAACAGTTTTCTCTAGTCATTGGCATTGCTGGCATGAACAAGTTGGTACTTTGCGGAGTCTGGGGAATTTTGGGAGTCGACGGCTGTACTGATGACTGGAATACAGGTAGGGTTGCAGTCACTTAGGTTTGAGGGATTGGTGCTGATGGCCCATTGTAGTGATAGCTGTATCTGTATGGCGGTGGTGCAGTGTAGGGAATTGAAGTTGTCTGTGACAGGGACTGCAGTGTCTTGTGGTCATTGACTATTTGGTCCTGCAATTTGTCAACATCTTCGCAAAGTTTTTGCTCCATAGCAAGACCTTGTTTTTCTCTCAGTAGCTGTGACACCAAGATTTTCATAACATCAGCCTTGAAGTCCATCCATGTAGCATAGTTATCCAGCATAAAGTTATGTAGGACCTCTGGAGTGTTTTCCAGTATGACATCCAGCAGATGATATTGGCTGTCATTGAATCCTTGCACTATTTGTGCGAGCTTCTTTGCCTACTTTATGTGTCCCCATTCTCTTCCTCAATCTTCCTCTATCATTATACCAATCTTCTCCTCCTTTAGTACTACTGACTTGAGCTATTCCTTCTTCTGTGCAGCCATTAATGTGACTTGTGCTGGTTGGGGACAGCGAACCTTGAATGCTGCTCAAAATGTGCTCCATGTGGCCTTATCTGACTCTGGAAGGTTTGCATACCAGCTCTCTGCTGGACTGGCTGCAGCCCACTGAAGTTCGAATTGATTAAGCTTGTCAGTGTCAACTGCTGAAGTGGGAAAAGATAATTCATATTTTTGGAGCCAGTCTGTAGGCTCTTCTCTTTTCTCATAATCTCCATAGAAGCTGGACTAAGGTGTGATGGTCATGTTGGACATGTTGGTGCTGGATGCAGAAGGAACCAGAATTGTTAGGACTAGCATTTGGGAGGACTTTGACAAAGCAAGACATTGCTGGATGAATCATAAATTAGTGCTGGCGGCAATAGAATTGACTTTGAGAGGTAGAAAACCTGTAAGAGCAGTGCCAAAATTGGATATTCTGGGGGGCAAAAGCTGACTGTCTGATGCTATACATCGAAGGTCTGGCTTTTCGTCGAGCAGGCCAGAAATGTTGCGCAGACGACAAAGGTCATTGAGGGTGATCACCATGGTGTGCACTCACTCCAGTCACCAGGTGGAGAGGCTACACCTCGACACAGGTGGCAACAGATGGTGTGCAGAAGCTGAGGCTACATATGGGAAACTGCTACTCTAAAACACTACAGGCATTTTCCCATTTTCCTTCACCAAACATCCAAAAAACATTGATTGAGAAGATAGAATTTTCCCCTCATTTTATCTGTCAAAACATTGAAGAAAAGTAATTCATGTTTCAATGATTTTCTGTGTGTGGGACATGATGCAAAAATTGATCATGTTCCTTCAAGGATAATGCTGTATTTTCCATCTATTGTCTTTTAAATAACAGCTTAAAATAATGTTAATTTTCTTCTCCATGTTTATCAAATATACTATGTTTTTCAGATGTTCTGTGTATATTTGAAAACCCAGAAGAAAATCAACATTATTTTAAGCTGTTATTTAAAAGATAATAGATGGAAAATACAGCACTATTCTTAAAGGGACATGATCAATTTTTGCATCATGTTCCATACACAGAAAATTATTGAAACATGAATTACTTTTTTTCAATGTTTTGACAAACAAAATGAGGGGAAAATTCTATCTTCTCAATCAATGTTTTTTGGATGTTTGGTGGAGGAAAATGGGGAAATGTCTGCAGTGAAAGATGCTTCCAACAGGGTCTAAGACCTCCAGAACCCAAAACCTAACTAAGAATGACCCCTGAGCAGGTCCTGGTGCCAAACATCCTAATACAATGACAGACATAGTGACATGCACCAAACCTGTTTTGTGCATGGTCATGGCTACTTTTGAGTCATAAGGTTCCTTACTTTGCTCTATGGAATTATCATGAATTTTCTACACTACTTTGATATTTTATTTGAATGTTTTCAGACTTGAAGACTCTACATTACCACTTAACAGTTTAAATTGATACTTATCTGGCTCAAAGTTCAGTGTCAAACATACCAAAACTGATTATTCAGCATTTCTCATAATCTCTTATATTTTCTCACACATTCTTCACAACTTTCTGTATGTTTGGAAACATACCCGAGATAACAATTCAACATATCAATGGTTCATAAATGGTCAATGGCTTAGTCAGATATTTGAGTGGAGAAAGTTTATAGATGGGAATATTTAAGAAGTGAACAAGTCATCATGGAACATTTCAACTATTGAGTCATTATAAGTCATTTTCCTGTCTGAGTCACTATGAGTTATATCTATTATGACTTAGTATGAGTCAGAATGAGTCATATTTCCTTATTTAGGTAGTTACACAGCCACATTTAGAGTAGTATATAAGGGACTTTGTTTCCCCTCTGAATAATAGAATCCCCTTCTTGAAGAGATTCCCCTTCCCAGATAGATTTCCCCTTTTTAAGGAGATTTCCTTTCCCAGATAGATTCCCTTCGGAGAAGGAAGGAGGATTTGAGTATTTTCCTAAGTTTCTCACCCTATATTTGTGTGAACATCTGAGTGAATATTAGTTTATTCCCTCTATTCATTTGTCATCATTTGTCACGACATATTAAATCTTCTGAGGCCTACCTTGAGCCAATCCTTAAATTACACTAGCTGGTACACAGTTATCAGTCGTCTAGTGTAGTTTCGTCATTCTCTTTATGACACAGGATATCTTTTCTGTCAGGAGAATTCATGTATTTCTTAATGATTAGGAAGGATGACAAATAAGACTAGCACTTTACTCAACAATATTAAGAGCTTGGCTGCTTTAAGACTACATCACGAGGGTGTACTCTGTTCTGACCTGCATCATACTCATTGTGCAGTACCTGAGCAGCAGAGAAGTTAGTTTTGAAGCCATGTATTTCAGTTGATTCAACTATGTTAGAGGCTTAGTTTGATCACTGGTACATTACCTAATCAAGAACTATAGTTGTACTTACACTTGTACTCCTCAACTGCCTATTGCTAATGCTTACACCTGCCTACTATAGCATGCTATGCCTCTCTATCTTCTTCAACACAACACCTACCTTCAAGTTCCACAGACAAAGTGAGTGTAAGGGTCCTCCTTCAAGCTCAAGTTATGCTGATCCAAGTCATTGCCCGCCATTTGCAGTGAGCAAGTGCATTGATCCTCGTTGGAGCTCGAGCCATGCTGATCCATGTCGTCAGCCACTGTTCGCAGTTGGTGAGTCTGTTGATCATCATTTGAGCAACAGCCATGCTCATCCAAGCTGTTGCCCAACTTGCCCACCATCCACAGTTCGTGAGTGTGTCAATCTTTGTTCGAGCAACAGCCATGCTGATTCAAGTCTTTGCTCACCATTTGCAGTTGGCAAGTCTGTTGATCCTCATTCAAGCAACAGCCATGCTGATTCAAGTTGTCGGCCACCATTTGCAGTTCACAAGTCTGTTGATTCTCAACCAAGCTCAAGCCACACTGATTCAAGTCGCTGCCCGCTGTTTGCAGGAGGTGAGTGTCTCATTTTTACAATTGCTAACTTCATATATATATATATGTATTACCTGTGGGTAAACCCTGCACAGGTATGGGTAAGTGTATGAGCTTTGCCATACCCTCAAAACCTGTACCCTTCATGGGGGTGCAGGTGAGGGTAAGGTCTCTGACACCCCAGGGTTTACCCATGCAGATCCCTACTAGCCATGAAGAAATTTTGTAAGGTATCCTCATCATCTGATGGCTTGGTTGGCAAGTCTAGTGAGGTATTTGCCAGGGCTGCAGCGGCCTAATGATTCAAGACACCTTAGCTAGCTAGAATGACATAGTAGACTTAAAGATTACTGAATTTTCTGCAATACAAGACCTTTGTGTGTGTGAGAGTTTTGTGTGTGTATAATATTTGAACTGATCCAGTATGGCGGTCCAAACGCAACTTAATTAAATCATGTGCATGCACAGCAGAATCGCGTGCATGCACACAAAAAAATCGTGCGCAGAGACTTGACCATTGTTTTCGACAATCGCAAGTTGCTCCTTATCATATTATAAGTACTAATTACGCAGTATTGTAGTCCTAGCTTAATGGGAAACAAATTAATTTAGTGAGACATCAACCAGGCCCTCAGTCCCTCGAGCTTGTCCTCTACAAATCCATCTTCCATCAAGAGACACCCTGTTTCCTTCATGTTTGCGACGGAAGATTCCTGGCAATCACTGCAAACCTGTGGAATCTCGACCGAATTGAGGTGTGCAAGAATATCCCAGCTGGAATAGAAGATATCAGGGTGTCGCAACATCTCAGCAGGGCCAGCTTTCCAACCTGTTTCCCAACCGTCGGCACATGACATTGGTGTATGGCAAAGCATCCCGGCCATAGCAGGGGGAACAACAGCTGCCAGGGTGAGCCGGTGTGTAGAAATCTGATGTTTAACTTGAATTAGTGCATGTAAGATGTAGGCAGGAATTTTTTCTAAGCCTGCTGGTCCGAGGCTTTCAATGGGGAGTGAAACGAGCTCTCTGAATGCGAGAGTCAGCCATGGAAGGATTTTGAACTGGTGACAAAGCTGGAGCTTCATTGGCAAGTCCAGAACAGGGTGTCTCCAGTTGATTGACGGAATATGACTTCCCAATGCTAACATCAAAGATGGCACTAATAGTCAGAAGTGACACAAGAGTGGACACAGATTCTGGTGGTGTGTTGTTGACTTGTTCTGTGTCGCCGTTGCTGTCGCTATCTGTATCCTGGAGCCTAGTAGCAGAAATCAGTAGTGATACTAGAATTGAATAAAATATCCAACACACTTTCCAAAAAGGTGATCAAGAAGACAATTGAAATCCACACTGGAATGCCCGTGAAGCACAATGGGTGTGTTATCCGTGAGACCCTCGTCACTGCAAATGCCAGTGCGGGGTAAGGAAAACATGTTCGCAAATATCGGGGAACATCATTTGAGAAGGTCAATTGGTAGGCGGTAGAGCTGGTTCTGAACCTATAGAGCAATAGAGTCATTTAACTGGTTCTGTTTCAAAATGCAAGTCTACTAGTAACTCACCTGAATGACAATAAATTCACTGTCATAATAATGAGCAGCCGAGCGTTGGGCATGGGGAGTAGCAAAGTGAATCAGATTGTTGAAATTACTACAATGAATTTGTCAGAGTCAGCCGAAGTTCAATTTCAGTGCCAACCTCTGAGTTCAAGTCTGTTCTATGCTGAGCATGGTGTCCACATTTAACTTCAAGTTGGAAGAGTACAGTATGTTGTGTTCTGTAAGTTGTGTAAATGTGTGAATAAAACACAACTAGTTTCAATGGAAGTTTATGGTGCGTCTGACCTGCATATTCACTTCTCGATCATTAAATCTTTTGCCAATTCTTGTCATGGAATGCTGCCCCATTCAATTTCCAGCATTGCCTCCTTGCAACGAGTCTTCTGGACACTGGTCTCACAATGTTCGAAAAGCACATGAATTAGTGTATACCACCTATGATCATGCAAGCAGATCTCTTCGACAAGAAGACCATGACCCTCTGCAACTACATACACTGATAGAGAAGATATTCAGTGACTCAATTCCCTTACTCAAGGCATTAGACACAAAGCTCCAGCATCCTGAATGGGCAGATGAATGTGCGAGAGCTCTTGCTGCAACTGTTGTGGAGCTGAGACAAGCAGTAGCTTCAGCAACAAGCAGGTAAGTAATAATTTGATATCTATGTGACAGTCAAGGATAACTAGTATTCATGCATCAATCAACTTGAATTCAGCAATGAGACAAGATATTCCAAAGTCAATCCAATTTTTGCCACCAAGATTACTTGAGGATGAGGCTATCCCCACAAAGTCATTGATGGCGAATGGCTCACTGATGCACTGTCTCCGTACTGTAGAATTACATTGACAAAAATTGCAGCCTTACTAGGCATTCATCGAAACACACTCTGCCGCTACCTGAAACAGCACAATGTATATCGACATTTTTCGACAATATCAAATCACAATTTAAATGTTCTTGTCAAAGTATTCAAGACCCAGAAACCAGACTCGGGGCATCGTTATTTGATTGGGTTTTTGAGGGCTCATGGTGTTTGCATCCAGCGAAGCCGTGTTCAAAGCTCACTTTGGAGAGTTGATGTTGTTGGTCAAGTCTTGCGACGTCGAAAACTTATTGAACGGTGGAAATATTTTGTGCCGAGGTCCAATCACCTATGGCACTTGCATGGACATCACAAACTGATTCTATGGGGGATTGTTATTCATGGGATTGTTGATGGATATTGTCGAACAGTAAGTTCCAAATCAGCAGTGTTTGATTTAGACTTACTTTTCATGTAGATTGTTGCCCTTCAGGCAGGTACAAACAACTGTGCGATGACTGTGCTTGAAATTTTTCTTCGGGCGATTGCAAAGCATGGAGTACCACTGAGAGTGAGGGGTGATCGAGGTGGCGAGAATGTGGAGGTCTCTGTCTGGATGGTAATGCATTGTGGCCCAAATCAAGGATCCTTCCTGTGGGGATCGTAAGTTCTCAGTCGTCGCTAGCAGAAATTTTGTGTTTTATTAATAACCTGCATACTATGATGTAGCTCGACACATAACACCCGTATTAAATGGCTGTGGGTAGAGGTTGGCCAGCAATTTGCTCATCGATAGAAAGGATTTTTTATTTGTCTCGAGCGTCCCCATGGACTCGACCGCAAGAACCCTCACCATTTATGGCTTTTGCATAGCCTTTTCCTCGATCTCATCAAGATCGACTGTTCAGCTTTTATTGATGAATGGAACCATTACCCCATTTCCGGGGTTTCAACAAAGAACTAATCTCCTGCAGTATGCTTATCATTCTTAATTATAATTTGACATTTGGATTGAATTCTTCTTATAGGACTTGAGATTCCTCTCCGAAATTGAAAATGGTGTCTACCTTGATGATCCTTTAGAGGATATCCACCCTGATTTGCTTGCCCACTATCATGGCACTGGTGGACCGTCTCTATCAAGTGAGGACCAGGAAGATGCAGATGAGATGCATGATTTACAAGATATGATTGTGGCTGACCTCGAGGAAAATTTGAATGGCGAGCCCATTTTAGTTCCTAAGCATGTGAATCCCTTTCCCTCTTTCGAAGCAGAGACAATTTTTCATCAAGCCCTTACAGATATTCGAGAGGCTGATATAATGCCAGACAGTCCATATTTTCCAGCTTTGCAATGGAACTTGTCAACATATGATACTCACGAGGACATTACAGTTGGATTTCGGAAGATGAGATCATTAGTAGTTCATCTTCCACCAGAAATATGGATGCCATGGGCCTTGCTGTGGTCCCAAGCACTTTCCGTACTACAATACTTATTGCTAGAGATTTAATGGGTCAATTCAATTGTACCTGTCCCATAGACTGCATAATACTAGTATGTAAGTTGGATGAAAATGTGGCTCGATCAATATGATAATATCTCACAAACTGTGGGTTTGCTTGTCTTCCTCCCTACCCACCAGCACAATGTCTGATCCCGACAATGCTGGCCAAACTTGTCGAGGGAGGACTGCAGATGGTTCTCAGTGTCCATGTCTGCGACCAAAGCTTCGTAAAGACCAAAAAGAGGATGAGCCTGCACTATGCATCAATTGTGGTCACTTTGATACCAGCCATCCAGACAACACGACATTGCCCAATGCTCAGAGTAAATGAGGATCATCAAATGTTAGTTCACTGATGTCAAAGTATACTCATCTGTTCTCCAATGCTATTGCTCTGGAAGAGGTTGCCTGACGGGAGACCAACGGAGGCTTTTGGAAGCAAGACAACTTGAGTCTAGCTGGTGGATCAAGTAAGAAAGGTGCTATTACCACAAAGAATGGCCTTCGGAATGGTAAAGAGATTGCAAAGGTAAGAATCTTTCTTCGAGAAATGACAACAAGTTCTAATTAGCAACTTTACCATTCTAAGACTCGGAACACTGCATCTGATCTTCGTAAAATGGGTGTTGGATCCATCATCATGGTCACTGTTGGAACGGCGAGTAAAATTATACTGTAGAGTACTTATTCTAAGTAGCTGATGTTGAACTTGACATAGAACAAGAAGGGCTGTTTAAATCGGAAGGTCACACCTCACAATGCAAAGATCGAGGAGCTCCGACAACTTGGTTTTGCTGTGTCCAAGGATCCCGATGGTGAAAATCTACAACCTCAACCAGAAATGACCATGAAGGACATTGATACCTACCTCCAGAATCTTTTCCACGACTGTTTGCACATATTGATGGTATGGGCCACAATATCAAAGACGACAATGACAACAACAATGACAGGGAGCCCAGCTCAGGCTGATTTCCATGGTTTCTCATTGTCAAAAGCGGCAAAAACATGGTGAAAAGTAGTCAAGAAGTACTCACTGGGGGGGATGTCTTAAAAACATGTCACCCTGCTGGGCAGAAGTGGGCAGATCAATTCATATATTTTGGTAAGTCAGAGTACAACCCGAGCATCAGACATGAATGTACTCACTTCAAATCATATCTCCAGGCACAGTATGCAAAATATCAGATGAAGTAGATGACCCTATGGCAGATGATTCAGAAATTGACACTAGCAATGGAGACAAACAGAATGCACCATTGACACAGTCAAGAACCAAGGACAACAGTATGTGTTGTCTCGCTGAAAAATTTTAGCTTACAAAAACATGTTGAACAGGAAGCAACCTGAAACCTCAACAAGTGAAGCTTAGTTTCAAACCCAAGAACCATGCCTGCAGCAATTCACCTTTGTTTGGAAAAATGTCCGATTCTGATTCTGACATCGAGTTTGTTGGCCAGCAACTGAGTCTGAGTCCCAAGACAACACCGGGGCTTGTGGAAGAACCGAAGAAAAAGCAACATTGAGGTACACCGTAGCATTCCAATAACATCCCTGGCAATAAAACAATGTTAATTTTGACTCTACCAGTTGTGACCATTGGTGCTACAGACTCGTTTGTGACACTAAATATTGATGACAACTTGGAGGTTGGGACAGAAGCAATAGCGAAAGTTGAAACAGAATTGCCAAAGGAATTTCATAGCATGACGGAGAACGACATCGGAAAGACGGATCCTGCTGCGGTGACCGCGGGAATACTTTCATACAATTTTGACGGGCCATACGACTTTGGAAATTTTGACGATGACATTCAAGTTGTCAAGCCATCCATATTGACGGATTCCTCAGCAATGAATGCTGCATCATTGACGGCCAATTCTCGCAAGGAACTGGGTTCTGGACATCCACAGGGTAGCAGGGCACATGCTAAGACTCAAGCATCCTCATCCCGCCCAACATTCGATATGCTTCTCAAGCCCAAGAATATGCCTATACTTCCCATATTTCCTTCTTAGTAAAGAGGCCAAACGGGACATATATGTCCCCTTTAGTAAGCTAAAATCTTGTTCGCACTGAGCACCAGCGGTTGATACCAGCCAAAAACCATGACTTTACCGCTCAGGCTATTTACTATTCTTGCACGCTATGTTTGTTTATCATTTGTTGGTGCTAATCAACATTCCTGCGCTCCTGTTTCACCTGCCCTCACTGTCCATGACAGCGAGCTCAACAGCTCCTTTGGTAGCCATCACTTCTACATATTTTTGTGCATTTCTCACTGCATACCCTGTAGCCCATCACAGTGCTCTGTCTACCCTCTGGTCCATCCTATCCGGCGTCGTTATTTGAACACCCTCTGTGACACTTAGACTCTGTTATTTCCTGTATGTTATCCTCGTTCTTCCTGTCAGTTGTCTTCCTAATGTAATTCTTTAGTGCCAGGAGCCCATTAATCATCAGTATCATCCCTTTGATCACTCTGTGTATTAGCACTTGTTTGGGTTGGTGAACTGGCAGCGCCCGTACTTCCCTTCTAGTCGTCACCGCCACCTCCAACCACATCTCATGGTCAGGTCCTCGTGGAATTCATTGGGTGGTATATCCCGTCAGTGCATCGTGCAAGTTGGTGGTAGTAAGGCCAAGACCCTGCAAGCAGGCAGCATTTGGCAGCGTGAAGACCAAGCAAAGTCATTTTGTGCAGAACTACTCAAAAGTATGTTACATTATTTCTTTCATTTGACTCAGCTGATCGTCACATAGAGTTGCCTCTGCACGAGCGAGAGCGACTTCTAGCTTCCGAGTCTCTTGCTACATCTCAAGCACCCTCACATGTCAATACGGACACTTCTATGGACAGTGGTGTCATCAATATTGATGCAGTGTTCCCTCCACCCGGTGAAGAAGGTTTTGCTGTCAGCCATTGGGGTGAGGAACATACTCTCTATTCAGAGCTTGAGCAGGTCTCCCATGCGCATATCAAGTATGTTACTGTGTGCTTGTGTACTTTCTTCATTAAGTTCTATTCCCAGACCTGTTGATACTTGCAATCGCAGCCTGCATATTGCCCAACAGCTTGCTGCATGGAGTGATCAATATGACGTACTTACAGACACACTACTCGCATACCAGCATGACAACATTGAATTTCCTGAGGTTAATGATTCAGATCAGTGACGTGTTTGGAATTGAAGTAGTGGACATCTTCAGTGAGTAATTACACGACACTACTTTTACATTGCTTTACTAATGGTCACTGCTCTAGGCCGATCCATCCACAGATTCAAGCATGAGTCTATCTTTCCAAATGTAACCTTACTTCGTTATGGATGCATTGGTTCATCGCCAGGTGAAGCCCAGTGTCGCCATTACAATTCGGACCCTTGCTGTCTACCGACAAACACACCAGTGTGTGCCCTCGTCTCAGCATCCATGCTGAAGCCAAAAAATTGTGTCATCTGCATAATGTAAGTGCTGTCGCCTTCAATGCAATCTCACATAATTGATGTATATTCAAGGTATGCTATAGGTGTTATTTTGCTGAGCAACTTTGTGCTGCCTTTGATGTTTATCTCGAGCTTCAACTGACAGATCACTGCTCGTCTTGACAGGCACCTTGGTTGTGATACTCCCAACTGGCGCATGCTCAATTCATGCCCAGCATGCCAGTACACACTTCAACAGGAACCACCTTTATGATACTCTATCATCTGTGCCTGTGACAGCAACAATTCAGCCAAACTTGTCGATCCAGCAGTTCGTCATGGAGTGGAGCGCCTGGACCCCCAATCAGGAACATCCTCCATTTGGCTTAGTGAGCCTTATGTTAATATGTTCGCTGATGAGGTCAGTAATGCGCACAACCAACAGTCGAGGTCTCACTCTGCCGCAACAGCAGCAACCATCCGTGATTCTGATGATCCTTGGATTGAGGAACCTGAATCAGGTGATTCGTCTGAACTGGTGGGCATATGTGTTGATCAATGGCATAATGCTGCACCAGAATCACGCAAGAAGATGTTTGCAATCTTCAAGAAATCAGGAATATTCATCACTGTCTGTCGTCATGGCTTTCTTCTGACCATATGTGACATGGTTTCGGAGTGGCGAACTGTTAGTATCGTTTCTAGAATGATTATGGCAGAATGCTAACTCTCAGCACAGTATGAAATACCCGATTGCAAGCCTCAACAAACTAATGGAAGTTTTCGGGAAGAATATTCTTTACGGCTATGACATCAAATGTGCGCTCGAGAAGATCTTGCTCCGCAGCTCCTTGGCAAATCACATCAAAGAACTCAACCTTCATGGCGTAGTTCCCGCCTTTCATGGTCATGCTCACAATCACCTTTGCCAGGTCCAACACTATTCCAAGTACAAGGTTGGCGCCGGTAAAGAAGATTTCGAGACTTGTGAACGTGTATTTTCAGAGTCTAATGCTCTAGCACCTGAAACTTCGGAACGCTACTGAATTTCATCGCCACCAAACTCTTGATGAACACTTTCGCTTTGCTGACATGGACAAATATGCTAACCTGTGTACATCCTAAGTTTAATTAATTTACAATGCTGACAACAAATTTAGCTAATTTTATCTACAACAACTATGTTCAAGCACTCGAAGCTATTGCTGCTACTTCTACATTCCTTGCTGAGTCTCCAGTGGGACCTGATGCGCCTTTTGAGGCTGATTTGGATGATGAGAGGATATCATTGGAGAAAATGAGCAGCAAGAAAGATGCTGCACCTGTTGAAGTTGACTATGTGAAGGTGTTGGTTGAATATGAGGATGCGCTGTAGGTTTTTCTCAAGCAACTTTAAGATGAACATTAATGGTCATTATGGCAGGCTCACTTATGATGCGGCTCATACGGAATTTGGCAGGCTTGACCTTAGGCCAAATTACTCCTCGAAGGAGATTGGCAATGTCAGGCGTCGACACACACATGCTGCTGCTAAGCATGACCAGAAGCAGGAAGTAGTCGAGGACTTTGAGCACCAGATGGGGATTGATGAACATTGGGGTCCTAATCACCCAGAGTGTATCCAGGCACAGTCACATATTACGCACTGCCTCTTTTTCAAGGCTGTCGATGATGTTGAGAGATTGGTTGTCATGCGACTATTGGAAGCTTACGAAGTTGCAGATGAATGGTCTTGGTAAGTTCTAGTTCACATCATGACATGATACTAATGTGAAGTTTTTTACTCAGGTTACAAACTTCGTACTCAAATTTCCAAAGCCCTCAAAAGCCGTGCAACTGCTATCCAAAATGCCCTTCAACACTACAATAAGTATGCTGCTGAAATGACGCCACCTTGCCCTTTGCTCGATTGAGACCAAATAATCGAGTCTTCTTTTTTAGCCGAGTTTGACTTGCTACATGATAGCAATGGGCAGATCCAGACTAAACAGTGAGCAAACCCTCTTTATCGGCAGGCATCAGCACAATACTTTGATCATATGCGTGCCCAGGAAGAGCTGCAGAGGCTAAATGTTGAAGTTGGTCGTTTGATGACGAAGATTCATGATGACACTATCTACTATCCAAACACAATCACTATCCTTTCCACTGAAGACCTGCCACTTGCCTCTGAGCTGAGTTGGCAATGGGAACATCTTCAGTTGGTGAACTCATGGCATCAGCGACACATTCATCAAATTCAGACTCTTCATGGATATTCTGGACCATGATGGCCAGGTATACGACTTGGAGCAGCTGGTGGTAATAGTTTGGCTCATGATGCTTTGGCTGATGGTAGCACTCCTACTGACTGAGGGCGTTATCAATGAGGAGTCTTATGATGGAGAACGCATGCAACAGGTTGAGGGTTATATTGATGGACTCGAGCATCATGCTGCTGATGATATGTAGTTAAAATATTGTAGCTTTTCAATGATATCTATTGGCCATACTCATACAATCTTAACAGTGTTCAACTTTATTAGTGACACTGTTGCTGGTCCCAAGGTCATGGATTTCATCACACAGTGTATTAGCAAGAAGAAGCAGTTGACTGTGGAAATCATCGATGACGCATATCATGACCGGCTGAAGGTGCTACCTGGCATGACTATCCGAGAGTCGTTCGAGAGCAAGGTAGAGCGTGAACTCAATCACGCTCGTGATGACTCCGGTCAGTACATGCAGAAGAACCTGAAGGACAACAACAATGTGAAGCAGATGGTCACAGCTGGTTCCAAGGGTTCATATATTAACATCTCGCAAATGTCTGTTTGTGTCAGGCAGCAGAGTATTGAAGGTTGTCATATCCCATTCGGGTTCTGTCATCGTACTCTTCCAGAAGTAGTTGGTTTTAGAAATCATCGAGGATGCTGCATATCACAACTGGCTGAAGGTGCTACCCAGCATGACTATCTGAGAGTATCTCCATAGTGAATTAGAGGCTAGGAGGCTACTCATGACCTCTTTGTGGGCATCCAGATGGTCATGAATTTCTGGCTATTCCACAATGGATTCAGTATTAGCATCAGTGACACTGTTGCTGGTCCCAAGGTCATGGGTTTCATCACACAGCGTATTAGCGAGAAGAAGCAGTTGGTTTCAGAAATCATCGATGACGCATATCACGACTGGCTGAAGGCACTACCCAGCATGACTATCTGAGAGTTGTTTGAGAATTGAGAGCAAGTGAAATTGGTTGGGGGTTGTATCTGAATATTGAATGCCAAAACACAACCAAAATATGTTGTAACTTACAATTGTCTACTTTTGGATGGTCTAAGTACTTGCGCAAAGTTTTGTCTTACATCTTTGTATCCTACATCATGCCTGTATGGAATCAGACTCATTACAGCCGTGATCCAACAGTAGATGGGCTAAAAGAAACCCTTGCCATAATTCCTCCCCCCGAACTCTTAGCCAACATCAACGACATTCAAGAACGGTGGAAAGTTGCTGTACTGGCCTCACTTGTTCATCAACTACACAATGATGGTGATCACATCAATCTTACTTACAGATTCCACTCTCTTACTTCAACTCACTACTGTACAGGATCATCACAGCCTGGTCCCACTCAGCAAACCAACCAACAGCAGCGGATGAATCTTTGGCAGATGCGCACTGATCACATGAAGACTATCCTGGCTCTCATCTTTGATCTGGTACGTCGACAAACAAAGTATTGATTTACACTCATACACACTGTGCTTTAGTGTACTGCACTTGATCGGCTTACTGGTGGCTCAACATTGTTTTTCCATCACCCTGGTGCTACTGTTCCAGGCAGTGATATCACCCCAGAGTAGCTGAAAGCCGATTTCTATGTTAACCCAAGGGTGCTTGCAGAGAATGAAGAATTACATCAGATTGTCGCAGAGCTATCTCAGCTTTTCATCAAGTGTTTTGCTATGCCTCTCGCACATCGCTTTGCTACTTGTCATACCCTCAACAATTGGCCAGCGTCCAGTGGATCTAGTACGACACCATCATGTTCCTCTACAATGAATTACAGCTGTGTCCCCCTCGTCCCTGCACCACTCATCAACTCATCATGCCATTTCCATGTTTGAGGCCATCCTTCCGGCAGCCTTGCCCAGCTTATTGGTCTCAACACCATCCTTCTATCAGTTGTTCCACAGGGGTTGCCCCTTACCTGGAATACAAAAGCTGTTCCTATTTTTTCGGCACCAGCAGATCCGAACACGTCAAACATTCAGGCGATTGATTTGGTAGGTCAATATATATGTAATAGAAGCAGGAAGCTGACATTGTATTGTACTTAGTGGAATGCTACTAAACGTCCTGTGGTTGTCTATGAGTCTGAAGATGAAGATGATGGTTACCCTGATACCAGCCCTATTACTCCCATTAGGAACAAGAGTGTTGCTGTCCCGTCAGCTGTGAAAGTCAGCAAACAGAGAGCTCTGCAGTCACCATCTCCACAAGCTGTCAAACCTTCCTCCTCACTTCAGCGCACAATCCCTCTGTTGCGGGTCCAGCATGAGGTCTTAAGATCATTCGGTCCTGAAATGGAGGAAGTCATCAATACGCTCGGGCTCCCTGACACATTACATACAATATGCGCTAATATCGAGAAGGCATCTCTACCAAAATGGTGGGTTGTGAAGCTAACAGAGGAGGCTGGTTTTAGTGTGGAACAAGCTGAAGCAATTTCTGAGGCTATGCTGCAGGATGCTGGTCTTTTTTCATGTGCGTAATCATCTGATAATGTTGTTGCCCTCGCACTATATAAGTATGATGTATGTTTGTATTCGCAAAATCCATTGCATCTCTGTTTGCTCTCATTATGAATCCTCACACTCATCACCCACATCGACTAATGATGCGTACTCGTGGGCCTTATGTGAAGGTCTCCAAGGAGTTCCATGCCTTACTCACTCACAGATGGCATGAAAAATGCATGAATGAAGAAGGTGAAGTACAAGCTGTCCTTCGCTATCTAGAGGACAAAGCCATAGAGCTCGCACGAATTTTCAAAAAGCCTCAACGCCATTACCTGGAGCGGTTTTGCTTGGGCTCAAAACTTTAACGTGGAAAGCGAGGGAAAATGAGTGCGTGGTCCACCTGGGTTCACTTCAAGGGTATCAGGTCCAACACTGGTAAGTACAGTTTGTAATTTTGTGGACACTGCTGATGAATTATTTGCAGGCAATAGTACATAGGTTGGGTGTACAAAGATGTCAGACATCATCAAGGACAAGGCCGAATACGACGAGCTTACGGAAGATGAAAAGAAGGCTCTTGTCACAGAGTTTGATGAATTCAAAAGCCATGCTGCCAAACATCCACCTAATATTACTGCTTGCACTAAGTCAACTGAGTGTGCGAAAAGCTTTCAGGCTGTCAGGGATGAGGTATGTTTTTATTTTCCCTCTAGTACTTACTTGTTTAACATACTCCTAGCTTGAGGCACTTTCACAATGTGCTGGCATAGAGGCCTTTGTGTTTATGGTTTGCAGCACATCTGACTTTCAGATGACACCGAAGGCATTCTTTACCAGTGCTGCCTGTGAGCACTTCATGCGCATCTACCTGCGGTGTGATGCTGCACATACTGCCACTGACTTCGAAAGTGCAATGCTTTCAAAGGGGATCTTTACTTGTTCATTTTTTTTTGTCTAACATTACTTATTTAATGTTTCTTCCATACAGCTGCAGCGACCAACCATAATAATCGTGTCATAGAAGCAAAGCAAAATATTCATGCCGGTTTGCGAGCGTCACTTTGTAAGTTTTCTCTAGCCCTTTGTGATCTCTCCCAATTTTAATGAGTGTGCTAGGTGATGTTACCAAGGATGCATCAGCAACTGTAGAGTTCACTCGCTATGAAGTTGCAATTGTCCACAAATATCACATCAAACTTGTAGGTTGGAACCACCCCCAATGGGCCAATCCGTCTGATCTGAAGGGTGGGATTGAGGCACTTGAGAATGTTGTTGCTGCCATTGCTAACAATACCTGCCGCTTTGTTGAGATTACAGCAGATGAAGTAGAAGAATGCAGACAAAAAATTGCAGATGGGGCAGTTCTCACACCTGAAACCGAGCCCCCGCCTTCCACCACCACCTCCTAGTACCCTTATCTCATCACCACCACCTCAGCCTGCACCTTTGTCATCCGCAGAGCCCCGCCTTCCACCACCACCTACTACCCTTATCTCATCACCACCCTCTCAGCCTACACCTTTGTCATCTGCATTAGGTGATTTCGGTGATTCTAGTTCAGCCTCCGGTGCTTCCTCGGCACCAGATTTTTTGATTGACACACACAATTCATTTGATGCCTTACCAGATGTATCACAGTCAGAGTCTCAGTTATCATTACCTATTAGCTCAATCACCAATGATCTGGTAGACCCAAGTCTTCTCACACTCAGTAGAGGTATGTCAAAGCATTATTCATTCATATAGCTTTATTTATGTAACATCAAATAGATACTCAAAATACTGCCTACAATGATAGCGCACCCTCAACAACTGAACAGCTCCCTCTCCACTGCAACAAAAGGCTGCCAGATGCCGCGGCACCACAGCCACGCACAAAATGTGTGAGAAAATTGACAGAGAAACAAGCAGCGCTTGAGGATGCTAGGATAGATTCTGAGCGGCAGAGGAAGAGTAAGAAAAAAGGGACTTGAATTATGTGTCCGTTGGTAGACAACAAGGGTCCAGATTGTTGGCCATAAGTACGTGATATTAATTGTTCCATGTAGCAAGTTGTTGGGCGATATATAGGCTGTGGTTGCATGTATCAATGGGTCTGGGAATAGAATTTAATGAAGAAAGTATATGAGCGCTGTGGAAACAACAACCTTGCTGGGTGGCAAGAAAAGGTTGGGTCAAGCTAATGCCTAGCTGCTATGTCTAAACAGACATGTTCGACCCTAAAGGGAATTGCTACTAGAACGATGATGGATATGTGCGACCCAAGAGTGCACTAAGCACGGGAAAATAGCGGACAAGGTATGCGCGAGGTGTGGGAATGTATCTGAGGCTATCCGAAGCGCGGGAACGTGCGGCCGAAGGTGCGGAAAGTGCAGGAAAGTGCGGACAAGGTATAGAGAGTTTAAGGAATGAGGTTCAGAGAGAGTGAGGGCAAAGGTATATTGCGAGGTAAGGAAAGTCTAGGTATAGAGAGGTATAAGGAACCTAATAGGGGCTAAAAAGCGCGCACTACAAGGGACTACTTCGAAGGTAAACCTAATGGGAGAGGTATCCAGTACGAGGGAAGTGTAGTAAGTAATACTAAGAAGTAGTCAACTTTTACTGTCTAAACTCTCACTCAGAGAGGGAAGGGATAGGAAATATAGTAAATATGTAAGGACATGTAATAAGGCTGCAACACATTTTACAAGCCTTGAGGTAAGGAAATTCACATACCAATGGGGTTTGGATGGACTATGGATAAACGAGGGACCTTCCTAATGCGTTTCCGAGGTATCCGAAGCGCAGGAATGCACATCTGATGCGGCCGATGCATGGGAAAGTGCGGATAAGCGGATGCGCAAGGCATGGGAAAAGCGGGTTTAGTTTCGGACAAGATTATTTGCAGGATAATGAATGTGCGAGGACAAGAAACTCATAGTGTTCTATGCTCCTTGAGACAAGTATCAAAATGGCCTATTTGCTGCCCAGTGCGGGTCCAAGCATCACAGCGCACAGTAACATACTTGATATGCGCATCGGTGACCTGCTCGAGCTCTGAATAAATATAGAAGTGTCCGTATTGACATGTGAGGGTGCTTGAGATGTAGCAAGAGACTCGGAAGCTAGAAGTCGCTCTCGCTCGTGCAGAGGCAACTCTATGTGACGATCAGCTGAGTCAAATGAAAGAAATAATGTAACATACTTTTGAGTAGTTCTGCACAAAATGACTTTGCTTGGTCTTCACGCTGCCAAATGCTGCCTGCTTGCAGGGTCTTGGCCTTACTACCACCAACTTGCACGATGCACTGACGGGATATACCACCCAATGAATTCCACGAGGACCTGACCATGAGATGTGGTTGGAGGTGGCGGTGACGACTAGAAGGGAAGTACGGGCGCTGCCAGTTCACCAACCCAAACAAGTGCTAATACACAGAGTGATCAAAGGGATGATACTGATGATTAATGGGCTCCTGGCACTAAAGAATTACATTAGGAAGACAACTGACAGGAAGAACGAGGATAACATACAGGAAATAACAGAGTCTAAGTGTCACAGAGGGTGTTCAAATAACGACGCCGGATAGGATGGACCAGAGGGTAGACAGAGCACTGTGATGGGCTACAGGGTATGCAGTGAGAAATGCACAAAAATATGTAGAAGTGATGGCTACCAAAGGAGCTGTTGAGCTCGCTGTCATGGACAGTGAGGGCAGGTGAAACAGGAGCGCAGGAATGTTGATTAGCACCAACAAATGATAAACAAACATAGCGTGCAAGAATAGTAAATAGCCTGAGCGGTAAAGTCATGGTTTTTGGCTGGTATCAACCGCTGGTGCTCAGTGCGAACAAGATTTTAGCTTACTAAAGGGGACATATATGTCCCGTTTGGCCTCTTTACTAAGAAGGAAATATGGGAAGTATAGGCATATTCTTGGGCTTGAGAAGCATATTGAATGTTGGGCGGGATGAGGATGCTTGAGTCTTAGCATGTGCCCTGCTACCCTGTGGATGTCCAGAACCCAGTTCCTTGCGAGAATTGGCCGTCAATGATGCAGCATTCATTGCTGAGGAATCCGTCAATATGGATGGCTTGACAACTTGAATGTCATCGTCAAAATTTCCAAAGTCGTATGGCCCGTCAAAATTGTATGAAAGTATTCCCGCTAGTGATGTTTCGGCCTGGCTTTGGCTTGGCCTGAGGGGGCTCGGGCTCACCATATTTCAAGCCAAGGCCATGAGCCAAAGCCGGCCAAAAGCCACAGCTTGAGCCAAACGAAGCCACGGCTCTTTTGCTATCAGTGCGACATTATATATTGTAGTGCAATAGAACTACGGAACAAGCAACATGGACCAGACCTAGTCTGTCTCAAAGTCAGACACCTCATCATCAGCTTCATCATCAGCATCGTCTTCCGCATCATCAAGCATGATATCCCAACTATCCTCGTCATCACCATCATCACCTGCAGTCTTCGAGTCACTCCCAGCTTCCAATTCAGCATCATCAAGCTCCTCTAACTCCATGAGGGATGACGGTCCAGGCTCTCGAAAGAGAAGGTCATGTCGTATTGAACACTCAACAATTTGAAGAGCTTCGACAACATCTCCTTTGAGCCTGTTCTGCCGTTTAGTGACAGTGATGCCGCCTTGTGAAAATGCACGCTCGCTGGAGATGGATGATGACATGATAGATAGGTAGTCTTGTGCGAGTGTGGTCATGCCAGCTGGTAGAGCGGCCTCGATAGTCTGATATGGCGGGTGATGTCTGTTTTTCCATCACCGGGGTGAGTATTAGCGGAAGCTTTGAAAGAAGACGACAATGGCGACTCACCGTGTCATTCTGACATACCCTACAGTATGATGGACTAGGAAGCAAGAACCAAAGAGAAGCAAGAAAATGACAAAAATAGAGTCGACAATCAGGTTCCTGCGCAGTACTTACATAATTCTAAGCCGCAGCTTGGGCCAGCGGCTCAGGCTTTGCAGAATTGAAGCCTAGGCCAAAGCCCTTGTCAGGCCGTCACCTGGGCCTGGGCTTGGCCTGGCTCAATCTAGCCCGGCTTTGGCTGGCCCGGGGCTTGAAGCCAGGCCGGAACATCACTAATTCCCGCGGCCACCGCAGCAGGATCCGTCTTTCCGATGTCGTTCTCCGTCATGCTACTGTATCTAATACTTCGAGTTTCTTAATTATACAGCGTGCGGCGTGCGTGCGATTTTTTTGTGTTGCGTGCGCGCGATTCTGCTTGCGTGAAAATTGTGCGTGCACGTGATTTAATTAAGTTGCGTTTGGACCGCCATAGATCCAGCACCATAAGCCTGGGTGCCCTGCTGTCACAAATCCTCTAGATGCACCCGTTCAAAACATGTAAAAAGTACACTCTAATGTGTAACGTTCAAGATGTCATGTTCTGATATTTCCATGGTATGGTAAACGCCCAGTGATTCATTTTTGTAATCACACCCCAGCCAGATTCTTCAACATTGCAAATTCATTCTCGCCCGTCGCCTCGCACAACCCGTAGAATTGCGACGAGGGGTCAGAAAGCAGCACAGCAGGACTGAAGGTCTTAGTTAACTTTCTGCACCATATATTTCGCGATGACTTACCGGTCAAACTCTACGATTTTGCCCTGGTCAAGGAGCATCACCTAGTAGTCCATTAGTAATGCACAAACCATGTAAGGTGGATTTTTCATACCCTATCATAATCGATAACAGTGCGCAGTCGGTGCGCGATGGTGAGAATGGTGCTGTTTGCAAATTCTCTGTTGGGCGTGGTCAATTTCTCATGAGTGTTATTAATGTCGCAAAACGAACTCTCTGATCGTCTTTCCAATGAGCTCGTCAGTCGCGTAGTCAACGCTGAAGTTATGTCAGTTGAAATATCCGCTTCTATCATACGATCGATATCACCTTGCTGTTGCCTGTAACCTAGCCTTGAGGAGTGAAACGTAGGTGAAGGACAAGAAAACGCACCTCGTCCATGACCAAAACTTTCGAGCGTTTCAGGATTGCTCGAGCCATGCATAGAAGTTGTTTCTCGCTAGAAAATTCGTGAGCAAGGTTATTCAGTGGCGTTGACAAAGCGCTAACCCCGTAGAGAAGTTTTCCCCTCCTTCCGATACTGACGACTCTAGGTTTCGGAAAACATTAACATTGACCGCGACACCGTCAATTTCGACAACATCATCGGCATCAGACGGAATCAAATGAACACGTCGAAGAGCCTCGAACTAAAGAACAGTCAGTATACCGTTGCGGTCAACCAATGTAAACGTAAACCGACAATTTCCGCGTCCCCGTACTCGTCGAATACATCCAGCGTGGATCGCAAAGTACCGCTAAGGATGGTAGGGTCCTCTGTTTGTTGTAAGTATGATAATCCTCACTTGGCAGGACACGCACGAGGAATGATAGTAAGCTTGCTACGAAGGTCCGAAAGTCCCATTTTGGAGATGTCCAGACCGTCGATGATGATGCAACCCTCTGTTGCCTCCACGAAGCGGAAGAACGAGAGTGCAAGGGTGCTCTTTCCAGAACCCGTGCGCCCCAGGATGCCAACCTAAGAACAAAACTCAGTTGCTGACAAAGGAGTCTCCGAATATCTAGTACCTTCTCCCCAGGGTGGACCTCGAAGTTCAAGTTGTGAAGAACATCGGGCAACTCGGGCTATGGGAAAGGTTATGAGCTGATGAGAGGTTCCCACTGAAACTGGCTTACCGCATAACGGATGATCAAATTTTCACACTTGATGGTACCTCGATCTGGCCACGAAGCTGGCGGACGCGGCTCGATGTATTCAGGAGGCTCGCGCTGAAGCTCTGAATACTCCTTGATACGCTCCAGGGCGACCTGTTAGAGGTCCATCAATAACACCACACATCACACAGTATGCTAAGGTACTAGCCATAGATTGTTCAAGGCCGACGAACCGTCGCACCTGAGTTCGAGATTAATAAGAAATATAGACAGACACCAGTTCACCTACTAGGAATAACAACTGCAGGCAGTATCAGTATATCGTTCCATAGTCCATGACAAGCAGGCACATACTGTGAACGTCATGCCTCCAGCAAATGAAAGAGCGAATCCAGCGAGCGCAGCTGAGATGGTCGGAGTGGCAACGGTAATACAACCTGTTACACCAACGGTCACAGCGGACAGAAGGTCAAACCGGGCGGAGAGCCAGCGATTGACTAAACACATCAGCCAATGTCAATCACTCTCGACAATCAAACGACCGCTCAACGTACCAGCCCATTGCCAATAGTTCGGGTTTATATTCTAGCAGGCATCGATCAGATTAAGTGAAAGCGAATTCTGTTTGACTCACCGTATCGACATAGCGAAGCATGTCTCGCATGAACTTTGACGAAGCACCGAAAGCTCGGAGGATGGGCGCTCCGGCAATGGTTTCACCATAGATCGAATAAAGGGGAGACCGTGCCACGGAGTCTTAAGGTAACTAAAGTCAATCGGCCGCTCTTGAATATGAAGAACACTTACCCAGGCGCCGCATATCTCTAGCAGCTTGTCCGTAGTCCTAGGCACTTAAGCATTTCCTCAAGCAAGAACGTAACAAAAAAGTACCTTTGAAACTAAACACAAGCTCAACAGTCAGTGCTGAGTGATCGATCGAGAAAAAAGGTGCAAACCATCATAGTAAATGAAGCCCAAGATAATGATAGCAATGAGGAATGGAACTCCGCCTGCAAAAGTAACAGACACAACCGTGACGAAGAAAGAAAATGCAAAGATGAGACTTCGACCAAAGTGATCCGCGAGTCGACTGTCAACGCCTATATTGTTACGTGTTATTGTATAGGCGAAGAAAACATCGGCTTAGAAAACGGACCTTCGAAGTCTTTCCCGAATCGATTCAGGAGTCTCCCCCGCGACACAGTATCATGGAAACGAATTTGCGCAAACAGCACGGTCTCCAGAAGTTCTATCATGAGTAATGTAAGTAAGTAGTCAAAAGTAACATCTTAACCTCGACCTACGTTGGTATAAAACGGTAGATGCATGGATGGAGCCGTTATCTGAACGAGAAATGGTTCAGTAGGGGTTCATGAGAACGGGTATAGTTTGCATACACAATACGAAGTATCTGTAAGTCGAAATCAAAACACCTGAAAGATAATTAGCACCGTATGGCACAAGCCAACTGATTCAAACCTGTGAGAGTGACCTGCAAGGACATGAGTCATGGTGAGGGATAATACTGTAGAGCTGTGCTTACTGCAGCATAAATGATAATGTAATACACCGGTCCCTTAGCGTCGGCCTCTTCTGTGCTTGATCCCGACCATGTCCTACGGATGCCAATGTCAATCATGCAACAGGA